AGCTTCTCCATCAGATGGTATTCTTGGCCCTTCTCCTTACTCGTCGGAGTCGAGTTCTTTTCAACGAGGGAGAATTAATGGCGCAGCCATTGGTTGGTTGAACCAATGCAATCGACTTTGGAAGCCTAAGCGAAAGACTAGGAATTTTTTGTCCAAAGGGAATTGTAATTGGTAGTTTATTATTATTATTTGATTTATGAGTATTTGTTTGACTAGGAGTTTTAATTAGAGTTTAACTAGGAAATTATTATAAATTTTTAGTAGGATAGAGATTTGAGAGTTTGATTATGAAACTATTTTAATATTTTAGTAGGAAAGTAGTTTTTATTTTAGTGGGGGACTTAGCCTATAAATAATGGTGTAATCCCAACTATTTTTAAGGGAAGAGATTATGAATAAGAATTGAGTATTCTCTGCGGAGATTTGTGTACTTCTTCACCGATTCCTTGCGAGGATGAGGTAAACCCCTTTCACCCCTTCTTTTTTCTTATTCTCTTTCTATTATGTGAATTCTATACCTTCCTGATCTACATCAATTTGGTATTACACATAACCAATTAATATTATATATTCAAAACAAACCGTAATCTATCTAATGATTTTGAATAATGAAATTTAATCATCACATATTGCTATTACGAACACATATTCAAATCACAGCTACAAAAAGTGTAAGTTTAAATATTACTAAGATAATTAAATTAAGTATAAGATGCAGCTATGCCTTCTGAGGGAAAAATACAAAATGCAATTATAATTTGGACCTATTTGGGTTTGAGTTATAATCTTAAATTGGATATTCAAGCAATCTACGTCGCACACTTATTCTGTTTGGGATCATGCGATTTTGGAACACAAGATGCTTAAAGTATACTTATGATTCCGAGATGCTTAGGGTATACTTCAAAGTTGTCTTATCCTTTTCATACAACGCAAGAGATATAAATTCATAGACATATAAGTATCTTAGTGCACAAGTTTTTTGGCATTGCAGGTTCTAAAGAATGTCATTAAGATAAATTTACACACACACACATATATATACATACTATGTACGTGCATTAAGATATATCTGGTAGATTATTACCGAACTGACATTGTTTAGAGAAAGCTTTACAAGTTTTTTGGTTTGTTTTCAACAAAAAGAAATTTAGAACTTTTTGGAGTCATGTTACAACTTTTTAGGGTACTTGTGATCGATACGAAGTTACCCTAAAAATTGTAGATGACTTAAATTTTCTAAATGAAAACCCACAAAACTTGTAATAGTGGTACCTCACCATTTTCTTTTCATTTTTTGTCGGTGCAATAATCTTCTCATGTTTGCAAACATGCATTGTGAAATGTCTATGATTTTCGTTGAATACAGGTACCCATATATTCTTTTTATCTCCCAAAGCCACCCAAACGAGACCTTAGGGTGTGTTTGTTTGGATGGATAAAGGTGAAAAATGGAATTGAATTGTGTTATAAAAATTTGGAGCCCCACAAATACTAACTTTGGATTTAAAAATTTTTATGGGATTATTGTTGGGCTCAATTAGTCTCCCTGTAGTAAATGAACCGGTTAATCCCCTCTGATACGGACAACTTAAAACCCACATGACATGAAAGCCAAATTTACCAACATGCAACTCAACAGTAACAACCTAAACCTTTTCATCTTTCTTCATCGGCACCTCCAACACAGCTTTCTCTCTCTCTCTCTCTCTCTCTCTCTCTCATGCTACTTGCTTCAGTTCAGAAGTCGTAACCCAAGTGTAGATGTCAAGCAAGCAGTAATTTCTTTGTAGAGTCCAAAATCGAACCAGAGGGAGATGGGGATTTTAGAATGAAAAAAAAATATTTGTGTGTTTAAGAGAGATTGATTTGGTAGTTGAATCTTAAAAAAAATAAACTAAAATAGCATGAGAAAATAATTTGGAAAAATACTAAAGCATTAGATACTTCTTCAATGACAATTGGGCACTAAATTAATCCTAATTTCCAATCTCACTTGAGAAACAACTGGAGAGTCAACTCAATTAGAAGATTTATCAATGATTAATGGGGAAATTCTCTAAGATATAATTAATAAGCTAATCTAAATGAATCCAAATATCCAATTGTTAATTACAAGCATGTAACATGTCCAAACTCAATGATAAATCAAGCAATTAATCAATCAAACATCTCAATTCATATAAATTAACAATTCAACTAATTAGAAGAATTAATTAACAATTCAACTCAAGCTTGTACATCTAGTTATTCTACTCACAGGAAATCTCAAGTTTCCATCACATTTAGTATAGTAATTCGAGAAATTATATAGAGATAAAGTTTTACTAAATGAGAGGAATTTAACAATTAAATAAAAACATCAATTAAAGCTCATAGGATTAATTACATACCCAAATGTATACTAAATTTTCTCCTAACCTTAGTAAAAGCGTTTAGTCATTCATTAATTGGGGCTAAACACAAAATTAAACAAAGATTAAAGAATAAAGTTTCCAAATCTAGAACACTCCCCAAAAAGTTGTAAAAAGTATAGAGAGTACTTTCCAAATCAGAGGAAGATGACCCAAGCCTCGTGTCATCAAGCTCTCTGATTGGTGGTGAATAAGGACACACGTCTGCACGTGGGTAAAGTAACGTCCGGATGCGAATCTTAGATTTACACGCATTCACATGTGAACAATGTGACATTCGAACGTGAGAAGCTGAGAGTTCTTGCAATTTTTCCTTTGATGTAGAACCCCGCTTTCAACTTGGTCATATGATGTCCGTACGTGGTCTTCAGGGCTCTTTTCTCCAATTCTCTCCCTTCCTTTGTGTCATCCATTCCCATATTGGTCTTCTTACCTTCTTATTTCGTCATTTTACCTACAAAATAGCAAACACCAGTTAAATTATGATAGAATCAAATATAGCATTAATCTCATACAATTAAGTCCATACTCGTGACAATTAACCCTTAAATAATATGATAAATATGCATTATTTAGGCAAAATTACTATGGTGGTGGATCTGACATCAAATTCTAGCGAATATCAATTGGATCTCAGATACCTTTTGGGAGCATTCGACGATAAAGTCGGCCTGCATCCATCAACCACATCGCCGAGCAGCTTTGAGAATTGGCAGGAGGAAACTGGGTTGGTACAAACTTCGTCCAAACTCAGTGAGTTTTGGGGGTTTGAGGATCAGATTGTGATTTATGGCGACCTAAAACATTGTTGATACAGTAACACAAACGGACTACAAACTTAGACAAAGCATATTGTCAAATTTTTTCTTTCATTTTTTTTGCAACTTTGAAAAAGTTTACAGCAAATACTTTAATTCAACACCTGAGCATGTTGGAGAGAATGACTCTTTGTTGGATTTTAGAAAATCAAGCAAATGCTCCTCAGCATTGGATTTGAATGTTTCAGAGCAATCAATTGTTTATTTATTGAAAAATCTAAATCAATATCAAGTTAAAAATAATTGGAAAAAAAAAAAGCTAGTAATTCCATACCTTTTCATGAAATCTATATATGTAACGTAAAACTTGTTAATATATTTTGTAAACAGAATTTTTTTTTTTTTTCTTTGTTGATGTTTAGGCAAGATCGAACATATTTGTGGTTGACTTTTTTGAATTTTTTTAGAATGGAACGCCAAAAACTTGATTTGATATAATAATTTACTATTTAAAACTTTGTAAAGTGGTAAATTAGTATTGCCAAACCAAATATAACATACTTTTGGATGGATTGTATTCAAGGGTATGATGGTAAATTTATGTCAAAATTATGAGATTTGATCAACATGTAAATGGGTTAGTACATGGTGCCCACAGTATCCTGAAGTAGTAGCCAAATGAATGATGGGATTAAAAAAAATATGCTAATGCAACCTTTTAGCTGGCTGCCAACTCGGCCAATTAGTCTGAGTGCCAACTCGGCCAACCGATTAAAAAAAATATGCTAATACGACTGAGCTCTAAATCCAACTCGGTCCAATTAGTCTGAGTTCAACCCTTATTAAGGTATCGTACCACTATGACAATTAAATGAGGTTCAAAATCATTAGCTAGATTGGGAGAAATGAAGAGCATTATAGACATTTTATAAGTAGACACCAAACTCCCATATTCTCCCTTTATAATAGTAATGAATATATACAATATTATGTAATAGTGAAATCGACCTGAATAAGAGTTTCAAGGCCCACCGCATTCCAAAAAAAACATATCAATTAAGTTTATTCCATCACACCATGTATTAGAACTCATATAATGTACTAAATCAACTTAGGCTATAGATAAACATAGAGCCGCTCGGGAACTTGGATTTAAGCGACGAATGTATCAGAGTATTCATAGATACGTGCATGTATGTATTTAGAACATGGTAAAAAAAAATGTCTTATTATGATAATGACAATAAGAAAAAGCAAGGCAAGATGAATGGCAACTTCAACAAGATAATTATGTTGATGTCAGGTAAGAAAAAAGAAATGAGGGTTGGTGAAATTGAGGAATAATTCAATTTGAAATATAAAGATAAACCAACAAATGGAGGACTTCGTATTTTTTTCTCCTCTTTTGTAAGGATTAATATGACATACATAAATAAAACAAACATGAAAAAACTAGATATTATTTTTATTCAATACTATTTAAATAGATTTATTGTGTCAAAATCAATTTATTCATATCTAACACTAACTTGACTCGTTCATTACCTGTCTTAAAGATTAATATAAATTAAATTTAGTGTCGAAAAGTTGTCAATCTCATCTTATTGGTTTCTTATTGAATTCACATTGTGCATGGTAGTTTATCCTGCCAAAAATTACCACTGACGGGATCAATAACTCGTCAAAACCTAACCATGAAAGACTTGGTAAGTCTCCTGGGGTGCTTGTAAACATAATGACTAGATCAAGGACACACTACCGATATACAGGGGCTTTAATCATGTTAAATCTACACACTTCTCATCAAGCAACCATTCATAGTAAAAAGATGGCCAATCACTTCCTCGTTACCATTGTCCTTGTGGCTTTGGCATCTTCCTTTGCCTATGCCTCCGTTCCTAGCCCGTTGCAGGATTTCTGTGTTGCAATTGATGAACCCAAGGATGCAGGTATAATCTTCTTCTAGTTGTCAATTATCAACTTTCATTGCTTGGGATTTTAACTTTCACAATATGTCTATTCTCCATAACATTACAAGTTTTTATCATCAATGTAAGTAGTAGTGGATGTTATCTTTATTTTGCAAATGTTCATTTCGGACTCGAACTCATAACGTATCGTTTGTGTAGATAAGCACTTGCCAATATTTCTATTTTTCCATTATACTATCTGGGTTTCTCTTTGGTTTTTATTTTCATTTGGATTTCGCTTGTTTGAGCTACATTATTTTAGCTAACCCTAACTTGACAAAACACCTATTAATGTGAGTGCAGTGTTCGTGAATGAGAAGTTTTGCAAGAACCCAAAGCTTGCCACAGCTGATGATTTCTTCTTCCCTGGACCCAAGATGCTTGGTCTCAACATCCCCAAAAGTACATCAAATCCAATTGGGTTGAATGTTACTCAAGTAAACGTGGAACAAATACCAGGACTCAACACTCTTGATATCTCATTAGCTCGTATTGACTTTTGCCCCGATGGCCTCAACCCACCCCATACCCACCCTCGTGCTACTGAACACGACTCATTTAACCCAATGGCCTCAACACGACTCATTTAACACAACACGACTCATTTAACCCGTTTAATTTTAAAAAAATTATATCAACAAATTTTAATACTTCACTTTTGTTTACTGTCAATTACACTTACCTCAAAAAAGAGAAATTTTTAGTCAAATCTCATAAAAATAAGACTTGAACGCTATAAAAAAAATAAAGCAAGAGTTCATTGTCTTTTATAGGCAACTTAGCCCTTCTCATCTCTCCTCATTTTCCAATGTGGGACAAAAACAAAAGTCATTGATTTGTCTTTGTCTTTGAGTGTTCTCTATCTCCTCTCATTTGTCTTTAAACTACTATTTTACTTCTTTTTTTATTAATTTATTTACTTCTTTTTTTCTTGTTAATTTTTTTAAATAATTATTAATTTATTATTATATTAATTTTATTTAAACGGGTAAACGTGTGATAAACGGTTTGACATGTCTAACCCAAACACGACCTGTTTATTAAATGTGTTTGGCGTGTCAATTCGTTAAGATCTCACACAAACTCGCTTAATTCGTATCGATTAATCATGTCGTGTTGGATTTTGACAACTCTATATAGGGGTATGAGGGGCTTGGCAAGATGAGTTTAGAGAAAATAGTCTAAAGTTCTTCTAAATTTCATGTTTGTATGGAAAATTCAGTCCTAGGTTTTCAAACCTGGCCCGTAGCTAGCCTGAAGATTAAACTCATAATCATGGATTTCGTCAAACCTAAGGAAAGTGTGGGTTTGGGAAGATGGGTAAAGGGTTAAAGATCCAAAAGACAATTGTATCCCTTAACATGGGTTTGAATTAGATTGATTAAGGGTAAAATAGTCATTTATAGAATAAACAGTTGTTAATAATTATAATATATCCGTGAGTCATATATGTGTATGTGTTGCATACCAAACATAGATATGAATCAGATTCAACATTGAATCCAGACCATAACCATGTTTGATAAGAAACCAATAAGATGAGATTGACAAGTTTTCGACACTAAATTTAATTTAAATTAATTTTTAAGACAAATAATAAACGAGTAAAGTTGGTATCAAATGAATAAATTGATTTTACATGATAAATCTTTTTAAGTAGTATTAAATAAAGCGAATTATTCCACAATTCCACCAACTCTCATTTCTTTTTTCTTGGCTGACATCAACATGTATAATTATCTCATGGATGTGGCCATTCATCTTGCCTTGCTTGTTCTTACTATCATTATATAATACGACTTTTCCTTTTTTTCACCATGGTCTAAGTACATACATACACGTAACTCTGAAAACTTTGGTACATTTGTTGTCTATATCTATGTTCGGGGCCACTTTATGTTTACCTATAGCTTCAGTTAACTTAGTACGTGTTACGAGTACAAGTACATAGGACTATATTTTTTTTTAATACATGATATGTTGGAAAAAAATTCGATGGTATACTTTTTTGGAACTCAGTTTGCTTGGAAACTCTTATTTATGGCGATTTAACTATCACATGATATTATATATATCCACTACTATTATAAAGCGAGAAGACGGGTTTGGTGTCAACTTGTGAAATGTCTATAATGCCCTTCATTTCTCCCAATTATTTACCCATAACTACTTCTTTAACCTCATTTAACTGCCTTCACTCATGAAACATCTACATGGTTTATTGATTTTAAAAGTGTGATTAGAGTTTCAAAGCGAACCGTAATCTCGCTAATGGTTTTGAATAATGAAATTTAATTAATACATATTCCTATTATGAAAAAAATTCAAATCACGATTACGAAAAATGAAAGTTTAAATGTCACTAAGATAATGACAATTATGTATAAGATGCAGCTATGCTTTACAAGGAAAAAATACTAAATGCGATTATAATTTGGAGTAACCTAGCTATTTGGGTTAGAGTTATAATCTTAGATCGGATATTAAAACAATCTCTACCTCACGAACTTATTCCGTTTAGGATCGTGCAATTTTGGAACATGAGATGCTTAGGATATACTAGAAGATTGAAGAACTTGTAACTATCAGAGGTCTGATGAACCTTCAAAGTGGTGTCATCATTTTCTGTCAAGGAAAATTTTGCCCTCAACCAAGAAACTTATGGGTCTACAACATGTGATTAATATATTCTCAATGGCCTATTTGTGTATGTATATATATATACACACACCCACACATCTATATATGTTCAGATGTATACTAGTAGTGGCCCATGCATAATTCGTATCTTTTTAATTTTATTACTTGAGAAATTAAATAAATAATTATAGTTAAGTTTTTGAGAGATAAAAAATGATTTTTTGAAAAAAAAAATTAAAAAATAATATTTAGTCATTGAAGAATTGTTGGATAGTTACTAATGATATATGTTAACGTCTGATTGGAGAAACCTTAAGTTTTGAATTAAAAAATTCAAAATTCTAAAAAAAAACAAAAAAAGTGAGAGGGAAGGCATCTTAAGCCACCTCCCACCTAATTTGATTGTTTTATATATACAGATAGATGTGCTTGCAGTAAGATACATTTGGTGGATTATTGTTCACCTGACATTGTTTGTGACAAAATTTTATAAGTTTTTTCGGTTGAGATACAAGTTTTTTAATGTGTTTTCAACAAAAAGAAATTTAAAACTTTTTTGATTCATATTATTCCCAGTCATGGCAAGTGCCAAATTTAAGAGGATCATGATCAAGCTCATTAAATTTACCTTAATTTTCTATGAGTTTCGTTACCTTGATCTCTCATTTTGGAAATAAGCAAAACGGCCAGTTATAGCATAATCCGTGCTTAAAAGTACAGTACAATATGAATGATTTTGAGAGAGATGTTAGTGGTCATTAGATGAGTCTATTTGAAATCATTGAATAGACTTATTGAAGTCTGTCATGTTTTATATTATAAATGTTTGACACATAGAATTGAAAATTTGACATACTAAAGATTTTCAACTTGGCAAGTATGTGACAGAAAAATCTAAAAATTATAAGTAATTATAAATTTGTCAAAGGATTTTACATAAATCTATATAATAAAATAGCTTACAATTCAAATTTCAAAATATAAATAAAATAATTTTTGTTTTCCGCGGTTTAGATCACTTTAAATTTTACTTTAAAGTTAATCTAACGACTAATATTAACACCCTAAATTTAATAGGAAAAATAGGACTCTAAAGGTGTGTTTAGAGTTACTTTTTAAAAGTATTTTTAAGAATTATTTCTCATACATATTCTTTTAAAAAATAGTGTTTAAAACTGCCTCATCACTACCTCTACCACCACCACTGCAACCGTCGCCGTCACCACCACCATCACCGCCACACCACCACCATAACCACCACCACCGCCGTCGCCATCGCTATCACCACCACGGTCATTGCCACCCACCACAACTATCAACATCTCCTACCACCATCACTTTCACCCACTACCTCTCATTCCCACTACAACCGATGCTTAAATTCATTTATCTCTTATCTATATTTGTGATTTGGATATGAATACAAATATATTTTTATTTTTTTTATTTTTTATTACTCTGTGCCTTCAGGCACAGAGGCAATAACTAGTCTATATAATAAAGTAGCTTACAATTCAAATCTTAAAAAATAAACAAAATGACTTTTACTATTCGCAGTTAAGATCGCTTTAAATTTTATTTTAAAATTAATCTAATGGCTAATATTAACACCCTAAATTTAATAGGAACAGTAAGTTTCTAAAGGTGTGTTTGGAGTGATTTTTTTAAGGTATATTTAAAAATTATTTCTCATAAATACTTTAAAAAAATTGTGTTTGAAATCGTCCTACCAGTACCTCTACCACTACCACCACCACTACCACCATCGCCACCACTACCGCTGCTACCACCACCCCCACCACCATAGCCCTCGTCGCCACTACTGCTACCACCACCGTTACCACCCCCACTGCCACCGCCACCGTTACCATCGTCGTCGCCACCACCGTCGCCCCCATCGCCGCCACCATTATCGCCGCCACCACCACCACTACCACCATCACATCCGCCTTCGCCGGCGCTACAACCATCGTCACCACGATCATTGTCACTCACCACAACCATCACCGTCTCCTACTATCACCACTGTCGCCAACCTCCTCTCACCCCTCACTACAAACAGATGCTTAAATTCTTTTATCTCTTTTCTATATTTGTGATTTGATTTTAAATATGAATACAAATATGTTTATTGTTTACCAATTTTTATTACTCTGTGTCTTCAGGCACAGACAATAACTAATAATACGATAAACAACAAATCTTGTTAGTGCTCGAATTAAAATTCGTTACTCATGTAATATCAATAAATAAGAATTTGTAATATCTTTTTTTTGAAGCCCTCATTTAATTTCTCTGTTATTATTGTCAAAATTTGTCGGCACATTAACAACCCAAAAAATCCACAGGTAAACTTGATGTTGGAGATCTTGCACAGTGAATTTTTCTTTTTTCTTCATTTGGGATAGAACCCAAAAAATTTAAAAAAAAAAAAAAAAATCGGTTGTTGCTCATTTGGGTTATAAATTAACCTTGGTACCAAAGTCTAGTGCAAAGTTTTTTTTGGGGAACACAAAAATTCCATGATCTGTCCTTAGCGAATAGAGGCGCATTTATGTCGCTCAGGCTCGTAACTCTAAGTAGAACCAAGGACAAACTTGAGTATATGAACCGGTCTTTCAACTCATATACCAGTTCAATCAAGACTTGCGTTTTACCAGGGAATCAAAATTCACATCAAAGACTTGGATACGATTTATTCAAACAACTGAGATTTTATCTTACCAAACAATCACGCTTTTGTGCCCAAAAAACTTCAAATTTTTGACCTCCCACCGAGAAGCCAGAAACTTTAACCAACTGAGCTACCCATTTGGTTAGGTCTACTGCAAAGTAATCTCACCACTTTGGTCACTGTATATGATGTAGACTTTTTTGATGTATTTGTATTGCATTTAATGACTGCTGCTCAAGTGAGAGGGCTGCTGAAGTGTTAAAAGTTCGGAAGAGT